CCTGATATCTATGGTGTAAAAATCAGTGAGATTAGTCTCTCTCTCTCTCTCTCTCCCTCTCTCTCTCCCCCCCCCCCCCCTCTTAAATTGTGTGGGTGGATGGGCTGGCCGGGTTATCGGTTTAGGCATTCAAACATTTTTGTAACTATCTTTTTAAAATTTTTACTTGTTCGTACAAAATGACACCATTTTCGGAAAAAATTTTCTTCTCATCATGTTTTAATATTTTTATAAGGATTGTTTTCACATAATTCTCTCACAATTTATCAAGATATAAATACTTTAGATCGAGAACCAGATCCATAGATCACCCCAATAATTAGGCCTTTTTCGTTGAGGTGACAATGGAGTAGTTCATTATTGATCACACTTTCTTTTGTCATTGAGGATTTTGCTCTTACGTGTTATTAGAATTTTTTTTAAGATTTAAAATTTTGAAGCAAGAATAACACATTAAATTGGAAGCATGAAAGAGTGGAAACACGTTTTCATCAAAAGGGGAATATAATGCATTAAGTAGGAATTTAGTGTGAATTTTTTTTAATTATTGCTTTCTAACTCCTGTAAAACCAACATATGTTATCTTCCTTTTCTTTAAAACATGTAAAATTACAATAAAAATAAATCTCTTGCTCTGTTTTGCGACGAATTGACAAATTTTGTCGATAAATTTTATCACTATGCATGTTTTATTAGGGGCTATTTGGATAAAACTAATTTATGATATGAAAAATAAATTCCGGGAAAAAGGTTATTTTGAAAATAGGTTTTGGAAGAATAGATTTATGAAAAAAAAAAAAGATTTTGATAAAATGAGAGTGTTTGGATAGTTTTTATAAGAAGTACCTTTTTCATGTACAAATTATTAAAAAGAACATAAATTAATATGATAATTACATATAAAAGATAGATTGTAATTTATATTTTTTATTTGAAGTACTAAATTTATTAATAATATATATTTTTGCCAACATAATAAATAATATATAAAAAATATAATTAATTCATAATTAATATGGGTATATATTTATAAAAATATAAGATTAAATATGTTTTTAGAAAAATGATTATTTTTTTACTAACAGAAAACTATTATTTTACCTTAAAGATTTTAAACATGAGCTATTATTTTTGATAAAGGGTATTGCTGTACTACACATACCATGCCAACCTTTCACATTTAACCCTCTAGAAAGCAAAAATTTTTTTGTTTCTAGTGAAACCATGGTTTATTGGGATCAGATCATGGTCTTGATGCCAAACCATAGTTTCATAAAAATTTGAAGCTTGTTTGAATACTTTTTGGACCCAAGTGCAGTTTGGACTCCAAAACAAAACTGTTGATTATTTAATTTTATAAGAGATAGCAAGATTCAAAGTATTAAAACTTCACAAGTTTCTAAATCTTCCCTCACTGCGTTAAATCCTTCAACTCGTTCATTGTGATGTAATTTGCAATAAACCTTATAAAACAATCTTTTTATTAGTTTTATTAAGTATTATCAAAACTAGTTGATTCAACGTTAATGCATAGATTTGGCCCTTTATCCAGTTGACCATGGAGTAGTTGACTATAGGTCGAACTTTCTTCTGTCATCAAAAGGATTTTTGTTTTTCTTAATTTCTGAATACAAAGACTAGTTGACCACGGAGTAGTTGACTACAAATCTCACTTTCTTTTGCCACATCAAGGATTTTGCTCTATTTCGCACCTGCAGCTCTCACGTGTCATGAGCCTACTTCCTTCCACTCTCATGGCACATTAATAATTTAATATACACATTACCTCTGATATTTAATATAAGATTTAGTTAATTAATTTAGAGAGATTTAAAAAGTTACTAAATTACTTACTTTTAACCTATATTACATAATCTCTTAAAATATTTACGTGTATCATTATATTATATATCAATTTATAATAAGTCAAATTAGTTAGAAAAAATGATAATATAAATACTGTAAAGTAATTTCTTTAATTTCTTCAAATTAATCAACTGAACACTACGTACTTCCGATCCTTAATGCAAGAGTTCGTTTAATTTGACTTTTATTTTGGTCTTAAATATAAGACTCTAATCTATTTTGTTTCTTATATTTATCTATTTTCTTTCTAAGGTAGTTCTTGTAATAATAGTAGTTCTAGCCAATATATTTTATTAGTAAAGATATTTTAGAAAAAATAATACTTATTTATTATAAATAACTAATTTAATTATCCTTTTTATTCTATTTATAATCAACTAGCTCTTATATTAAGTACTCCAGGTGATATCAAGGACTAGAGGTAGTGCATATGTGTGTGAATATATTAGTCTATCGATCATAACCGAAACATTTCCCAATTTAGCGGTGCTGATCGATGCAACAATTTGACCATAAAACACCAAAGCTGATGGAAAAACAATATTTTAAACACCCATTGGTCATAATTTTGACCGTGAAAAATATTAAAATTATTTGAAATCTCTTCTAACCACTATTGTCTTACATTGTTTTTTCCCCTTTAATTACAACAACTCCTCCAATTCACTTTTGTTCCAGCAAATTCAATTCCCTCCCTAGCTTATATATATAACCCCAACATTCCAATTCCATGCATACAAACTCATCCAAACACAGGAATATCACAAAAACTTATACAACCTTCATTAATCTCTAAAGGAAATATATAATCATGGAGTTCTTCTTCTTACCATCTTCTTCAAAGTCCCTCGTGCTGTTATTGTGGTTGCTTGCTTCAGTTCTTTCGGCGGCGGTGGCCATCAGAGCTGAGAAAGAGAGCGTGATAGAGATGTACCTTCATGATATTGTGGGAGGTAGTAACCCTACGGCTCGTCCTACAACAGGCTTATTGGGAAGCATTTACAGTGGTCAAGTGCCATTTGCGAGCCCTGTAGGTTTTAAGACTCCAGAAGGAGGAATCCCAATTCCTAATGCCAACGGTGCTCTTCCCACTGTTAATGGAGTTACTGGTATTCCCTTGGCCTCTGGTTTATCTGGTACTACTTTTGCAGGTAATTGCACTTTGGATCTTTAGGCAAAATTATTAGTTGAAAGAACCTAATGTGATCAATATATAAATATATATATATCGTTTGTGAATTCTCATGTGATATTTTTAGCTTTTTGAGTTTTAATTAAATTCGTTTTCCAAAATTTTTATAATCGAGTAATAACTCAAGCAATTCGGGTTTACTGTTAGTATATTGGTTATTTAATTTCATTTACTCACGTCTCATATAAGATTGACGATTGCTATATATATATATATATATATATATATATATATATATGCAAGATGCATCTTTTATCCTAAATTTGATAAAATTAAATTTCGTAAATTTATCTATAATGTCGAAACTAACACAAAACATTTCTTCAACTTCTGTAACCATCATGCATTTTTATTTTGTTTTTTTGGAATAAATACAAATTTTGTTTTAAAAAATAAAAATTTGTCATTTCAACAAAAGTTGTGGTAAGTGTTATTTACTTTGTATTTTGACGGGAAGTTTGTTTTATTTTAACAAAATTAAGAGAAGATTATATCATCTCCTTTTTTGTTTTAGGAAGAGGTCACAGCAATTTTTTTAAAAAAAATGGCACGTGATTTCCTTGAATTTTGCTAAACTGTGTGTATGTAATTTGTAAATGTCAGTTGAATTGCACCCAAAAATTTAAATCGCTGACAAATCCCCATTTTGTTAAATTGTTTCCACTTGTAGGTAACAGCCAAAACAACCTGCAGAGCCAGATAGCAGCTGATGGACTAGGGTTAGGGTTTGGAACAATAACAGTGATTGATGATATTCTCACATCACAACCAGAGTTAGGCTCACAAGCAATTGGAAGAGCTCAGGGAATTTATGTGGCAAGTTCAGCAGATGGAAGCAGACAGATGATGGTGTTCACCGCCATGTTCGAAGGTGGTGAATACGGCGATAGCTTGAACTTCTACGGCGTTTATAAAATCGGAAGCACCATGTCACGGCTTTCGATCACTGGTGGGACCGGTAAGTTTAAGGATGCAAGAGGGTTTGCAGAAGTGAGGTCTCTTATTCCTCCAGGACAGATTGCCACTGATGGTGCAGAGACATTGTTGAGAATCATTGTTCATTTGAATCACTACTAGAAGCTGTGTTTGTGTTCGATGATTGTGTTTTCTTCTTATTAATTCTTCTTCTTTTTTCCCCTTTAATTTGGTGGAAATTCGATTGTGTTTTTTGTCATTTTGATTATATTGGAGAATGTACTTGAAATCTTGTACGCTCCACACACAATAACGTAGTCGTTTCTCTGATATTTTTATGGAACTTTAGGGTTTTGTTGGCACTGTTTGCTGATCATTACAAGTTAGGGCTTGTAAAATATTGTCATTTCCAAGTCAAAATCTTAATAAACTCTTCATGCATTTGTTCTATAATTGAGGCTCGATTTACATTATATTGTCATCATATGACTCATCTTTATGTCTCTGCCCCTCTATTCTCTCGTGCTTCTATTTTCTTCTCACTATTTTCTTGTCACGATCTAAACAAAGAAAAAAAAAATTTCTTTCGTTTTTCTTGGCAAAAAGTATATTTGGTGGTTCTTTAAGTTTATTCAAAGTTTTATTTTGCTCATCTTTATAAAATGCCCTTTTTTTGGAGAGAAAATTGAATACCATTAAACAGAAACCAAAATTAAAATTTTAACGGGTGATAATGCATTCTCAAACTCAAATATTGACATGTTAAGTTTAACTTTTTAACATAACAATAAATTTTATCAAAAAATAATTATTTGAGAATAATGTATAAAACTCAAAATATACTCTATAAATTTAAGAGATCAAACTGAAATATTAATTGTATGAAGTTATAAGATTTTCCCTTTTTTTTCTAGTTTTTCTCTCCTTTAATTTTCACTCCATCCAAACATAAGTTACATATTGTGGTGTGTCTCGAAAGTTGTCCCTTGATATGGCAATTTTATTTATTCATCTTCTCTCAAGGGTCATATTTTTTTATTTGGCATAACTCAGAATATCCTCAAATCACTTTAAACTTGAGACTTATAAACAACACCCATTGTACCCGAGCCCACTAAATAATTAAAAAAAACATTAAAAATAATAGAAATGATAATGGAAAAATAGTCCTTGATTTTTCCTTGGAGAACAATTTTAAAAATCTCCCAAAAAAGAAAAAGAAAAATCAAGCAAGAATATCTTTCCCACCATAATTGATAATAAAAAGGGAAGATATGGTTAATTGTTGATTAACCCCCAAATTAGGAAATATGGGGTGGACACATTAAAGAGAAAAATCAGAAGAAAATAACGAAAAATCAGAAGATAAAGGTAAAAATCTCTCATTTAAAGTTGATTAGTTTCCCAATTAGAAGTGTCTTTTGGGGTCATAATTATAAAAAAATTAAAAATTAAATAAAAATCAGAACTTAAATGGGAAATGTTGTTTTGAGTTGTAATTGAGAGAAAATAGAAAATGAAAATTAAAGAAAAATTAAAAGAGCCTAATTGGAACTTATAAATAAGGGAGTAAGAGTTATAGGAAGACATACAAAGATGTCCGGAGAGAAAGGGAGCAAGAGAGAATGGTAGAGAAACATAATATTAATGTTGTTATTTTTATTTCTCTCCATCTGATCACGTACAAATAATTTCTATGGGGAAGGATAGTTCACCAAAGATGCTCTCTTACTTTCGCTTTGTTCAAACAAGATCTTGAGATTCTTGCCCAAGCCTATAAATATCTCTCGTTGGAGATAGAGGCATAGGTTATTTGAATATTGGGCAAATCCCTTAGAAGTTTTGCTTTTATTATTGTTAAATTGCTCCAATGAGATGTGACAAAGCCATTTGGATGAGCAAAGGTAACCTCCTCTTACTCGATCAATGGCTAACGCATAATTGTGCTTATACTCTTCCACGTGATCTCTCCAACAGTACAACCCCAGTGTTTTCCCCCCTTTCTTGGTGGTTTTGCAATTCAAGTCTCAATTTACGTTATGTGAGCTGGTCTTTTGTTTTTATTTTCTTTATTATCACTTCGCTCTTTCACTTGTTTGTTTTGCAGCAAATTTGAGAGCGTGAGAGGTACGTGCCTGCGCCATGGCTTTTGTTCATTATATGATCTGTTGATCTAGTAATTGTTTCTTGTTTTTTAGTCATTGGATAAATTGCTTTCACGTTCTTTTGAACTTCATCTCAAAAATTTCTTTGAAATATTGAGCCGATTTTTATGGATGAAAATAAAGTGGCAATATTTCTTTTCAAAGGTAAAATAAAATAAAATATTTTTTTAGAACCGTGTGAGATTTTTAGAATCTTTGTAGGCTCGAATGATTATTCTCCCACATGAGATTATGGAAATTTCCGCAGAGAGTGCAATCAATCCAAAATCTCTTTCAAAAATATTTTCCAATTAAAAATATGGGAATTACTTTCGTCCACTAAAAAATACAAAGCCACAAAAAATATCATTTTGTAAAGCAACTAATTATTTTCGTAAAAGGCATCAACTAAGTCACGCACATTTCTACCCCCAAACTATGTGAGCTTTGATCCTTTCAAAGGGTATGTAAGCTTGAGGTTTTTATCCTAGGCTAAGTCTAATTTTATAAATAATTTTTTTTTTCATTTCATTTTTCTCTTGTCTGTAAATAAAACCTTATCTTTTATTATTTTTTTATATTTATTTTTAGGGTAATTAAAATATTCTTTTTAAAGGACATGCTATTTTTATATTCAACTTAGAGTAACCATTCTCATGAATGGGTGCTGTGGATGCCTAATACCTTTCTTGCACACAATTGACTCCCACACATTACTATGTTTTTGTACACCGTCTTTCATAAAAAGTTTTCGAAATCACCATCTTAAGATTTTAATGATGAATCCCTCTTTTGTTCCCCTTTATGGGGAGGCTGAGATTCAAGCACGACAAGACTAATCTCTATCAGGCCACGAATGTTAAGGTTAAAACTCTTTCAATAAACATTATTCTTGGGATTTAAACTTACGTTATCCTTTGGCCAAAAAAACTTATGTTATCCTTCTTATGGGATAAGATTACTTACTATGCCAACGAACAACTTGTTGGTCTCTTAAGGCCCTATTGTTTTGACTTGTGAGCTTATTTAAGAATGTGGCTAGTCTAGCCAAAATTGGGCTTTTAGTTTAGCAAAATCTATTCAGAAGAAACCACAAAGATATTGGGCCAAGAAAATATATAACCCAACCCAATCTTTAAACGCTACTCCCCACCAATATTTATGTTTTGAACCATTTGAAAACCAAAAAGCCAAAGAAAATATAAAGGAAAACGATGTGCAATGCCTACGACAAGAATAGGGCCGTTTGAGCTCGAAAAGAAGAAAATCTTTTTTTGAAGTAGAGAAAACCTTGAAAAAAATTAATCAATGTGACAAGATCTCTTGCAATGCTATTAGGATGGGCAAGAGGCTGGGTTTGTTATGACAAGAAATTTTCCTGTAACCTATAATTGTTGCTCAGTACGAATTCAGTTTATTAACAAAATCAAAATTGAAAGGTCCTTATTTAATATAATGTTTTTATATATTTAGTAATTTAATGTTTTGACATGTACAAAATTTAAAATAAAAATTATCCCTTAAGTTTTTTAAAAGAATATTTTTCATTTAAAAATTATTAGTTGAAAATTTTGAAACTGAATCACTAAAATTGTATTTTGAATGGTCAATAGTTAGTTGCTCTTGCGGCAACGCCACCGCCACAATACTTGCCGGATTTGAGTCTAGCATTGATATATATTTATATGACTGTGTGCGTTTAACTGTTATATAAAAAAAAATTGTATTGGAATGGGGCATCAAAACTGTTTTTTTTCAGATACAAGTATTTTTTTTATTTAAAAAAAAAAATCCTCTTCGAGAAACTGTTTTTTTAGTGAATAGTAGTTTGGTATAATTGGAGCCGTTATATTTTCTGCTTGGTTCGCTACCAGGATCCAAACATGTGTAGCCTAAACAAAAAACGACACGCATCTCTCGGAAGGCTAAACCCAAAGCGGCACAAATTTCTCGGAATGAACTTATAATCATGGAATCGACTCGATCATCAGATTATAGATTATAAGTTCATAACCCTAGCCCATTCCCATTTTGGACGGAACAGATCTACTAATTCTTTGATTCCAGTTAGTAAGAGGGATCTTGAACTAAGAAATAGATTCTAGAAGCTAAAAAAGGGTATCCTGAGCAATTTCAATAATCGGGTTCATTGATATTCCTGGTATAGTAGATGCTTGTCTGCTCTTGATTCAACACACTTCCACTGCAGTGTCCGAGTGGATGCTCTTACTTTCTCTCGAACCATAATAATCTATTTTGATCAAATCCTTGAATTTAAATTATTTATTTCTCTTGAAATCACTTCAATGTTTATTTTTTTTTCTATTTTTTCCGAGTTTTTATTAGAACCTTTATGACATATAATATCTTTTTTATTTATTGCATATAACATATAAGCATATAACATATAAGAAGTAGTAGAGTAGTCGACAAACAAAAAAGAGAGGTTTTTTTTTTTTTTTTGGTCTAAAAATTTCTCGGATATCACCACAGAGGGATATATCCCAGGTGTCGTACCCAAGCAAGCATAATGATTTCAAACGCTGTGGAGATTGTCAAACACTGAATAAATATTCCCCTTTTATTCGTGCTTGTCTCGCGCAGGCGTGCACAATCAATGGAAGCCTGAACCCTAACGACACAAATTTCGTTAGTTTTTACTAATTTGGACTAATTTTATAGATCATAATAGTTTCAAAAAAATTTCCAAGATCATGCCAACTTTTAAAACAATTAAATCTTGATGAAATACGTAAAAATAGAAAGATTTAGAGAAAACAGTAATGAATAAATAATGAAAAATAAAAAATTTATTTTTTAAAAAAATTGCATTATTCATAATTTATAAATAATATATTTCAGTAAATTTATATGTCATATTTATCATCTTTCAATTCATCCATATTTTTGGCCATACATTTTGCTTCTAAAGAATAATACTTGAGAGTTAAGATGACGTTTCTACTCATAGCGTTGTTTTGTATTTGACCCGATTCTTGTCGGCCAGAAGAAATGAAA